CAAGACCCAGGTTACTGGAAGTTGGCTCGTGTGAAGTTAGAAACCAGATTTAAAGGATGTAAGTACGTCGGATCTTAGTTTTTTTTTCAAATCGTTCTAATGCTGCCACTGGTAAAAAAAATGGGAATGGAAAGGCAACAAGCTCGCTCATGCGCGAGTTTTCCTCGATATAACTCTAAGTTTAGGAGGTGTCCAACTGGTGGGGCCTATCAGTCCTCGGAACTGTGATTCGGGTTAAGAGGACCTCCTTCGCGCGACCTTACGAAAACTCGATTTGATGCTTGATCTGGGCGATAGAAAGCTGGTTTGTGCGGCACGCGTTTGTACAGTAGTTGTGTCGGTCATAGTGACCTTTTATTGATAGTAGAGCATGATGGACGTACGAAGAGGAATTAAAACAGATGTTTTGAAAGTCCTCACTGATTCTAGCTAACATTACCAGATGTCGGTCCCAGTAAAAAATGAGTAGATATGCTAAGACAAGAAAAAGATACAGCTACGAAACTATTTTTCAGATGAAAGTTTAACTTCGTTTCTAAAAAAGGTAATTTTAGGGCAGTCGCCCGGAAGGACATACGGCTACGAAACTGTTTGTCATAGGAAAGTGGCACTTTGTTTCTAATAAAGGTAATTATAGGGCAGTCGCTATGTATATGCAAAGGTCAACGATTCAGAAGAAGAAGATGCTATCACTGAAACGGGAATTTTATTTTCCTAACGGTTGGGATTCTGTGGAGGATCTTTAATTATAGGTAATCTTAGAATATTTTGAGACATGCACAGATTGGGATGGTATATGCACATAAATGCATATATGATACAGGCCCACAAGCAATCAACAAGCGTAACGAATTGCCGTTCTCATATTGCGTAGTGAGGCATCTTCTGAACAGGAGAATCATCAACGTGGGAAGGGTCGGTCCCTGCAACATCTCTGACGACAGCGAGCATAATTGTCTCGCAATTATCAAGCCCGCATCCGACACGGACAACTAAATCGCGGTAATTAATGAGTCGAAAGCGAAGTGTCAAGTCATAATCGCACCAATTAAGACCCCAAGCGGTGGTTACAGGAGCTGATAATTGTAGCACGCATGCGAATGAGCGCTAAAAACTATAAATAGCGTGCAATATGTGCATGTATCACCCCCATCTGCGCACGTCTCACACTACTCTACGGTTACACATGATCAAGGATTCCCGACAGAATCCGAAACGTCAGGAAAATAAAATTCTTGTTTCAGTGATCGCAT